GAGAGAGAGAGAGAGAGAGAGGGCCTGGACGTATTCAAAGAGAAATAGGGGTAGAGAAAGAGAGAGAGGGAGAGGAAAAAAAAAAAATCCGAACCTTAACATGCTTATGAATACGATCAAGTATTCTCAAACGTTGTAGCAAATTTTGATCATATTTTCCACACTGAGTTACTTTCAATTGCAACATTAAGTCTTGAAAATTTTGCCGTAATGCATCACCAATTTTTTGTATTACTCGCATTTGTCCATTATCCTGAAAATTGCATATTTTGTAAATAATTTAAAATATTAAAATGTAACGGAAATAAAAACAAACTTAGGTACTATTGCATTATTATCGCATATATCATAAAAGTTTTTCATATGAATTTTAAGGAATAGAAACTGTTTGAAGAGAAGAAATTTTCTGAAGAATTTAACAAAATAAGCTATCGAACGTATATACATTAGAGAGTTTTACGGGAAACACTAAAAAAAAATCTAAAATTACAGAAAGATGCTAAGAGTTAAAATTAATTGACAACACTAAAAGAACTAAAATCGATTCATAATATTAAAAGGACTGAAATTAACTGATAATAGTATGTGGTCTAATTGATATAGATCTTTGCGCTATGCAACGTTTTAAAATTTTTAAAAATATTTAAAAGCCCGAAAAAATTCGGAATAAAAACAAACGTAAGTAAAGGCAGTTCGATCATCCTCATTTCTATTCTTCCGATCTTTCCAGTCTTGCTTAATTGTTTCCAATGTATTTTCACGTTTTGGTTGTCTTATGCGCAAAATAAACGGCGCCCATTCTAATAATATGTATCGCATCTTTAAAAAGAAAGAAAATTAAATTATTTGATTTTAACTTCAAGTAGAAGCTAACTCTTAACTTGAAGCTTCAATTTGAACTTAGCTAATTCTGCCAATTTGAATAAGTAAAATATGAAATTTACACCAAACTTGTTTTATCCAAACTTTTATTCAAAAATTTAAAATCAAATATAATACGGAATAAATTTGAAGTGTTACCGAATTTGAAATGTAGAACTAAACATACGTTTAAGAAAAACACACCCAAAAATTCATTCGCATTTGCGTATCCGGATTCCGAAAATGAATAGCTTGCACATAAACAGTAAAGGATGTAGCTGCCACCGATATAACCATACAACTGAGGAAAAATATTCCTGAAAAATTGAAACATTATTATCACAATCAATTGACCTTTCTACTTATTTAATGTTTAATTGTAATTCTTTCTTGTAATGCATGAATGCGTACTGAATCATTAAGAATGATTAAAAAGTTGTGAAAAAAAAGATGAAAATAAAATTTGGTTTAAGATTGCAAAGTAATAAATTTATAATAAATATATAGTAAATAAATTAACCTAACAATGGTACTGCTTCAGAAGTAAGTGGTGTCATCCCATTCAACAATGTCAAAAATATGCAAATAGCAAGTGATACCGAGATTTGCAACCCTACTTTTTCACAGGTATCCGGACTGAGAGTAAATCCGAGTACAATTAGTATTAATGTCATCATACAAGGCATTATCAAATTGAATGCGTAGTAACTGGAAATAGTACAATAAAATACCGGATAAAAAATGACATGTCAGGTTTTTTTGATAATATTCGTAGCCAGAAAAAAAAAGGAAAATTAATTTAAATTTAAATTTATTTTATTAACAGAATTTATTATTATGACAGAGACAAGAAAGTATCAAAGGAGCAGAGGTAAATTTACAACTATTTTGCTTGTTTATTTAGTTAAGTTAATCCTATTATTATGCTTCAAATATTTGCAAATCATTTGCAAAATTGTGAAATCTTTTGTACTTGAATGAGTTCAATGTTGAAAAATAACAATATTGATTAATTTTTTAATAGAAATGAAAAGAAATATCAATGAGAGTTGAATTCCAACAAACTGGTGCGAATTTTTTTATGAACGAATTTAATAATGTAAAGATATTTTAAACATACAGCGTTCGCCTTTTAAGATGGACGAAGAAGCGAACATCCGGATATGGTTCCGGACAACATTCATAAAACTTTTCATTCCTCTGTTCCCAAGTTTCTAAAAGGTTGAAATTATTTTATTGATTAGGAAATGATCTAGTTTTCTACTCTTTACGTGCATATATTTCCTGATACGAACAATGGTGATAAATTTCGATTATATCATGATAAAACTATCAATTATAAATAAATGTTACGAATTATTTCTATTATATTGCCAATTAAAACGAACAATTCTTAACGTTAGAAATTCCCATGACTTACTTATAATAATCCATTCACCGTTTTCAATGAAATCGGACATATCGAAGTCACCCGGTTGAAGATCCACTTCATGACCACTAAATGACCAGGAACCGAACTGGAGACAATGTTTTTTTTTTTTTTTTATTTTAGTTTGATATAATTTTTATGAAAGTTGTTTTATTGAAATAATCTCAAATTAACGATATCAGTAGAAGGACAAGCCTAACCTAACTTGGAGTACATGAAAGAACAATTATAGTAAATGAACAATCATACTTAATAAAAAAATGGACGGAACTTTTAAATCAAATAATAAACGAGAAAAAGAAGAGTTCGTTCCTAATTAACAAAATTAAGTAATTAAATCCAAATGAATACCTTCAAAAAGCAAATTTGTTCATCGAATGGAAACCAATAAATATCAATTTTACATGATATTTTGAAAATTCCCGGTGGTATCCATGTTATTGAACCATCATTATAACTAATTGCATTCACTTTAAATGTACTGTCAAAGGCAGAATCAACACTTAAACAATGAGAATTTAATTCAAGAAATAAAAACTGAGATGAATTTTATAACATAAAATTAAAAAGAAAAATATTAATCGAAAATATTATTATCTTATCGTTGTTTATTTTTAAATTTAAATTTTCATTTCAGGAGATGGATGAAAAAGAACATTCCACCAGAAAAGTTTTCATTACTTTAGATATCATAAATGTCAATTAAGCCGAATCATGATTAAAATTAAGTCTAAATTTGAATAAGGAAATGAGATGTACCTATTATACAATAAAATATCAGGTTGCCAAATAGTACCAGCTGGATGCCGTAAATCTGTGACATTGTCATACTCTAATGGATCCCAACGTAACTTCATATCTTTCCAATTATATTTCAACCATGCATTTATCTCCAATTTTTCTTCCCTCTCATTCTAAAATTTTCTTAAAAAGTTTGATAAATTCTGATATAATCCATCTTGTTATATGTTAAAACATAGAAGTATTGATTGAATCAAAAACTCAAAATAAACAATCGTGTCTGGTGGAATATCAAAAATAACTTATTTAAATGATTGAAATTGTCGGTCAAAATCATACCAGATCGATAATTTGTTGAAAAATTACACCAAGTGTTACAATTACGGGATCTTCACTTCGTTCAACCGGTCGTTCCAATGGATTGTAATCATGCATCAAATCATTTCGTAACCTTAGTTCAGGTGGTGATGTCATAACAGATCTCAAGTACAGCAGCAACAATAGCATAATTATGGATTTAGATTTCAACTAAAGTTAGAACTAAGAATTCAGAATTAGTTTCTTCTTATTCATTCTGAAATAAATAAAATTTCGCGACAATTACCTGAGGAAATTATTGGTTCTCTAGAAGTTGCGTTATATCTTGTCTTAACCAAAATTTTTAAAAGAAATGTTGAACAACTCAATATTTCTGAAAGTTTACATCTTACTTCATTTAATTTTAAATATAGTCTTCACTATTATTAGTTTTAATTCTTCGTAACATTATAAAAGAGGGGAAAAAGGACTGTTAACTTATTTATTTATTTATTTACTTATTTGTTTGCTTATTTGTTTACTTATTTATTTATTTATTATTATTGTCATTAAAATTATCATTAAAATTAATTGTGAATCAAATGCTGTGATGGTAGAGGGCTATCGAACTAATTGAATTTGTTCCATTTCAATAAATGAAATTATATCAATTTTCCTGTTAATGAAATATCGATAACAGCGGATTGATAAAAATATTTGTCCATTTGATCAATAGTCAAAATTTTGCTCTTTCTATTTGAAGAAAGAGCAAAATTTATAAGATAAGGAAAGATTTCAAAAATGGGAACTTAATATGAGATTAGAGAGGAAAAGGAAAGTATCGAATGATAAGAAACAAAGAACTGAAGAAAGTAAATGATTGTGTAATAGGAAGTGACATTTGATGAGTTTAGGTAAAAATAATGAATGGTGAAACAGTGAAGGAACTTGTAAAGGATTCATCGAAATAGTGAAGGAAATTGTAAAGGATTCATCGAAACAATAAAGAAACTTGCAAGGATTCATCAAAACGATGAACTTCTAAAGGGTCATCGAAACAATGAAAGGACTTGTAAGGATTCATCGAAACGGTGAAGGAAATTGTAAAAGATTCATTGGAACAATGAAGGAAATTGTAAAAGATTCATTGGAACAATGAAGGGAATTGTAAAGAATTCATGGAAACAGTAAGGGAAATTGTAAAGGATTCATCGAAACAATGAAGGGAATTGTAAAAGATTCATTGAAACAATGAAGAAAATTGTAAAAGATTCATCGAAACAATGAAGGAAATTGAAAGGTTTTTTTGACAAATTAAAAAGAAAAAAATTGAAAATAACTTCAAAGTATTGCCATTAAATAAGCCATTGGATAAAAGCAAAAGAACTGAAAAATGAACAAAAAAGGATTTCATGCGTACAGACATAAACTTGTTGACCAAAAAGAAGAAGAAGAAGAAGAGAAGTAGATTGTTATTCAGAAGGTAGGGAGGATAAAAGGAAAGGAAAGTAGTGAAAAAAGGATACTTAATAAAAGAACGGAACGGAAAGCGCAAATCGATGAGCGTTAGAAGCAGAGCTGAGAAGAAATGATATGATAATGATGAAGGAAAAGGAAAGAATGAATAGCTTAAGGCTTGATGTTCATTTATTTAAAGAATAGATAATATGACTATGCGATATTTATATTGAGTTCTAAAAATCGGGACAAAAATTCGAATACTGAAGATGAAAGGATGTAATTAATTAAATTTTCTTTAATTATTATCAGTGTGTGTAATTAATTACACTTTAATCTTGTACAATTATTATCAATATCATTCATTTCCTGTTATCTTATCATTATCTGTGTAATTATTTTCCATATTATTATTAGCAATAACTTAATAAGTAATCAATTTATGAAATACATTATGTAATATTGAATTAATATTTACTTACCAAATGGATATATTACGTAATTTTAAATGAATATTTGCTTGTTACACGGATACGTGTATCACGGAAACGTGCGTTTTTCATCCTCTTAAAATAATATAAAATTACAGATAAGCCAGTGAATGAATATTTTAATTATAATAATTACTAATTAATAATTAATTAAAAATTATTTTTTTGTCGTTTTTTTTCGTTTTTATTTTTGGTTTTTGTTAAAAATTAAAAAATTTAACTAAGAATTAATAAATAGAAAAAAAAAAAAGTGTTTGCCAATTGTTAATGATATATGAGAAAATAGATGAGTCCAAAGATTACAATAAGATGTAAATTCTTCCCAATGAATAATTGACATTGTCACTTCACTATATTTATTTGCTCATATTGGTAAAAATCGATTTTTAATTGCGTATTTGTCATTGCAATCGAGCAGAACGTACTTGTTTGCTGTTAATTGCGACAATATCGATGGCACAAAAAGAAGATCTGGCTGATGAAAGAAATGCTTTGAAATGTATATTTGCTCGATCGCTCGATGATTTAACACTTCGAAATAAACTTGGCCAATTATGTGCATCATATCTTGGCGGAATTTGGACAACTGTATCCTGTCAACAAATTTGTATCACTACACCAAGGTCAGTTTGATATTTTATAATATATTTAAAATATATTGATTAACCAAATTTATACTCAAAGAATTATACTTTAACGATATAAGAATTGAAATTTTAACAATTTTGTTGTTAAGAGATTAGTGGTTAATTTTTGGAAATAATTTGAATTTAATTTATTCATCATAAAATGTATTATTTCCATGGTATTTAAAAAAGAAATTTATATTATCTTAAAGCTTAGTTTCATTAGTTTCAAATTATTTCCTCAAAATAATTGAATAGGATTGGATTTAATTAGAGATTAAAGTTTAACTTATCATGCATAGAAATATCATTTATAAAATTATCTACTTGATAGTTTTTAAATTTTCAAATTTTAAAATTTTAGAATAAAATTCGATTTTAATTACTCTTGCTAAAAATTGTTTCTTATTCATACGGCAAATTAATTTACTGTGTAAATTAAAATTGTAATTTTATCATTAAAAATAATTGATAACATATATAGAGGTGGATTTAACAATAAAATTTTTGTGGTAGAATTACCAAATGGAATAAAAGCTAAATGTAATGAACCAAAAAAAGTTATTCTTCGCATTTATGGAAATCTCAATGAACGTTACGAATTATCCGAAGGAATTATCTCAGCTATTCTATCCGAACGGTTTTTGTTTATTTTCTTATTTATGACATAATTTGCTTTTTTTTTTTTAAAATTTACTTGTCGTTATACTTTTTTCATGATTAGTTAAAGGTTATATTTATTTAAAAATTAATAAGTAATTTTAATATTTTGCAAAACAATTACTGTAAAATTTAAATAAATAGGTTAGCAGTTTTTCCTTATTTCTAGCTTATCCTAATAATAAATTTTATCATTTTCAAACAATTAGGAATAACTGAAAACTTTTTAAATATTTTGAAATAATATTTAATAAAATTTAAAACTTATCAAATAATTAAAAGATTTTTTTTACTAATTTGTTGTTGTTGATTTTTGAATATTACAGATATTTGGGTCCTCGTTTATTGGGAATATTTCCCGGAGGACGCTTTGAGGAATATATTCCATCACGACCACTTACCAATGATGAATACTGTAAACCATGGTTCGTAAATCTTAATGTCTCTTTAACTTAATGTTCCTTTGGAATTGATCTTTTTTAGAAACTTATTTCATTCAAAAATATCATTGTCTTCGGAATGGTTATATATTCTAGGAAATAATTAGGCTGAATAAATGAGAAAAATTAGATATCGTTTTAATTATTTTAGTTATTACATTTGTTCCATAGTATTGCACAAGAAGTTGGTCGAATTCTTGCAAGAGTACATTCATTAGATATGCCAATTAGCAAAGTGTGTAGTTTGGCACAATTTGTGGATGATCTAATCATTGGCTTAAAAAGTTCAACTCGATGGACAAGAAGTTATCCGATGCATACTACTTTAGCAAAAGTTAATAAAGAACTTGTAAGTTTACCAAATCATTCATGCTTCATACTTTACTTTCGACATTATTATCATCGTCCACTCTTTATTTCACTTATCCCAATTAATGATAAATGTTTTATTACAGTGTCCTGATTTTATCACGATTGATTTATTAGCAAAAGAATTGAAGATATGCAAAGAATGCTTAGCGCAAAGTGGTAGTCCAATTGTTTTCAGCAATAATGATTTGCATGTATGTTTGTATCATTTTTTGTGATACAATTTCTGCTATTTTTCAATTAAAATCTCAAGTTTTTTGAATTTTTAAATTAATTTAAATTTTAATAAAATAACTTTTTATTTTTTACAAGCAATGATAGGACTCAATTAATTATAGGACTCAATTTTTGCAGAACCATTTAACAAAGAAAACATAACCGTCAATCGTAACCGCCAAAAATGACTTTTTGACAATTTCCTTGAATAATTTACTTGTTCCTTTCATGTGTTAACTTCAAACTTTCATCCAATGAAATACTATCAGTATGTGGAGAATTAGAAAGGAAAACAATCATTTTCTGGTATATTTTCAGGAAGGAAATTTACTTTTACGTGATGGTATCAAAGTAACTGATCAAGGCTTTGTCAATATGAAAAATGAAAAGGATCCGATTGTCCTAATTGATTATGAATATGGTTGCTATTATTATCGGTTTGTTTTCATTCTTCCTTTTCTTCTAACCATTGTAATATGACTATGTGAAAGATAATAGCTAATGGAATAATATATTAGGATTGTTTTATCACCAAATGATTCATCGTATATATCTAAAACATTGCATTCTTTTTTTTTTTTCCTAGCTTCAAGTATTATTTTGAATCAAAAAAGGAATTTGAAATTATGAAAATAAAACAGAAATAATGTAATGCGTGAAGTTCGAATATTTGTTACGTAAACAAACACGTATAGTGTAGAAATAATTGTAATACGTGAAGTTATTACGTAAACACGTATAGTGTAGAAATAATTGTAATACGTGAAGTTATTACGTAAACACGTATAGTGTAGAAATAATTGTAA